AAAACACCACCTGCATACCTCTATTTTAGCTCTCACTGCGGTACTGCATGATGCTTACTTGCCTGTCAGTGCTCCTTGCATTCGGAGCTGCTGCTTATTGATCTTGAATTTCCAACCCAGGCAATGTTGCATCAACCAGGTGTCCCTGACATATTTACAAACTATGATTAATTACTAAATAAAACTGCTGTATTATTTTACCATAATTTTTTTCACTGAGGAAGATGGAACATTTAAAGAATAACCTGTTAATATTTTACAGAACCTGAGGATGTCGATTTCATTTTTGCACTGGGAAATTTGAGGTAGAAGCTGTTAAATAAAAAGGAAAAACTGGTATCACAATGTAAGAATATTAAAATTTTGAATAGTATCGGCCTTACTAATGACAGTGGCTCTTTCTGGACCCTTGATGTCATCCTGTATTAAATTGAAGCATCCCTTTGATCCTCAGTTGAGATTTTGTATACATGTGTAGTTTTGTGATCAGCCCCAGTCTCAGAGTCACTGTGGCTATGGCAGAGTTTTCATGTTATCTGCACCCATTTCAAAAGTTCTCCCTAAGAACCAATTATTTTTCTTACATAAGTGGACTGTCTTCCAAAATAGGCCCCACTGGTATCCATGGGGACAGATCAGTTGGCAAACTCTGTAATGGGCAGCCAGTAATGATGCGGACACCATCCTGCAGTGCCCACGGTGTTACAGATGAGACATGAGACAAATTCACATGGACTACCAAGTCCTGTGGAGGAAAGGGAGTGACACAGCCACTCCCTCAAGGGGGGAGCACACTGACCCTTGCCTAGACAGGCTTTTATTGGGTTTAATTTGCACAGGAATACAGGTACATCTCATTGTCCGTCAGTAAAGATCAAACAGTAGATAGCATACAAAGAACTATTAGGGCTTCTTCTGAGTCAGGGTCCATCAGCTAAAAGGCTACAAAACTTAGGGAAATGAACTCATTTCCTGCTTGGGCCTTTATCATTTAATTAAGAGCATTCTTAGCAAAGCAGATTTCACAGGATTTTATGCATTCTTTCTCAGGCCTGATCACCCAGGGAACCCACCCTTTCCAGCACAGGGCTGCACCACCCTCTGTCATTGTTTCAGGCTTAAGTCAGGCAGAGGAGGAAGACAGCCAAGGAATTAGGAGAAATGAGGACTCAGGCTTCATCAAAGCCAAGGGGTGAGGGTCCATCACCCCCTTTCTCCATAGCCCCGCGAGTCCTTCCCTGGGGTCTCCAGGTGACCATGCCTGTCTTAGGTCTTTCTCCCCTTGGGGAATCTTACCCAATATTGGCTAACTGATCAAGCATTGGGGGCCAGTTATGGATGAAGGAGCAGAAGCTGCGCTCCTGCCAGGGAGATAAGTTTTGTCTCCTTAGTGGCTTATGTTCCGGAGGTTGCTCACTCAGCCTTAGCCATGGGGGGGGGGGGGGGTTACAGCACAAAAAGGCCATCTGAGCACAAAGAAGGCATCGTTTCCATATTTTTGAAATATACCAAATGTAATTTCCCCTTCCTAAAGTCACCATCCTGGAAACTTTCCAATGTAATTTTAAGTGCGTATTTCCCCCTTTTAGCCTAGGTTGGACTGGCACTTCCCTCTGTAAATATTTAAGTTTTGATTGACTTTCACAGTGAGCATGGTGTACATATTCTGTTCTACGTATGGCTTTAGTTGTTTAAAAAGTAGGAATGTTCATTTAAAACATTACAAACATTGTAAAAGTAAAAAGTATAAGTCTCATATGAACCCTCTCTTGTAACACTTACTGTTTTCCTTTTAGAGCTTTTCTCAGGCACACACAGTATGTATATGTTGATCTAAAGCAAATATTTCTGGCAATTTATTATCTTAAAAATTGACTCTATTACTGAGAGCAGGAACAAGTGAAATTGGGGACAGACATTCGTCATTCCTAAGATGTAAATGACGAACAGTCCAGTACTCACTCTCCTGTCATTTTCTCCATTTTTCATCTTCAAGTGTCAATATCAGTGGTTCTTGATCATTAAAACTTTGAGACCAATTTTTTGAGAAGAGCACCGTAAGACAGTTAATTAGCAGGACATTTGCTGATTGCTAAAGGTCAGTTTCTTTCTATGGGACAGTTTTGTGTCCAATATCAAATCAGGAAATGGAGCAAAGAGTGAACAGCTAAGCATTTATTGAACAGTTATTTTAAGTCACTTTAGTACACATGTGTCCACATTTTACCATCTGTGGAAGTGAGATATAAACACAAACCAATATTTCATAATGATCACGTGAACATGTGGCATTTGGGATGTTTGTGAACATCGCAGAAATGGACAGAAGGGCCAGAACTCATGTTCGGAAACTTGCCAGTCCTGCATGTAGATTCCAGATTTGTTGCTCTACAGCAAACACACAATGGTGAAAAAAAATTTTTTAAGATGTTGCATAAAATGAAGAATACTTGCATGACTGTGTCACACTGCATTTGTAAAGAAATATAACTAACGAGCCCTGGCTGGTGTAGCTCAGTGGATTGAGTACGGGCCTGTGAACCAGAGGGTTGTGGTTCGATTCCCAGTCAGGGCACATGCCTGGGTTGCAGGCCAGTTCCCAGCAGGGGACACATGAGAGGCAACCATACATTGATACTTCTCTCCCTCTCTCCTTCCCTTCCCCTCTAAAGGTAAATAAATTTTAAAAATATTTAAAAAATATAACTAATGAATTTTCAAATTTAGTATTTAATCAGTAAAGCAAACTCTTCTTTTGTCTTTGTATAATACTTTCCTATGTGAGCACACACACACACACATATAAACTCAGTAAAACTTGGCCAGAAAGGCTATTAATGTCCTGCCTAAATAAGTTCTTTCTGGAATTTATCAAAATGTGCATATTTCATACATTTGGCATCATTAATTTCTCCCAGGAAATTTTACAGAATATTGTCAACCTCCTCCCACCCACTTTCACATAATTATTGGAAACATATCATCCAATCCCAGAGAAGCACTGTAGTCATACTTTGAGAACTTAGTGACTCTCTCCTAACCCAGCCGCTGACCTAAGAGCTCAGCAACACCAAGGACTGAGGTTTCCTAGGCCAGCGCAGTCGGCAAACACATCCGTGGTACCCACAGGTGAGACACAGACGGTGGTGCTGCCCTCTCTGAATCCCCTTCGCTGTATTCCCCAGGGCTGCCCTGCCTCTGAGGGCTCCACCCCCGCACGTGCAGTGTCCCTGCTGAGCACAGCCAGTTTGCTGGGTTTCCAGCAGCAACTGGCTGTAGTTTCTGCTCTGCAGAAGTCTTATGGCCACACCACTGCTGTGAAGGTTTACTCTTTTCTTTCCATAGTTCTACACCAAGACACCGTCCAGTGAAGGTTTACTCTTTTCTTTCCATAGTTCTACACCAAGACACCATCCAGTGTCTCTAGAAACTGTTAGAAGAGAACTTGACTTCACTATTAATCTCTTTTTCACTGAAGTGTCTCTTTTCTGACTAAAGCATCCTATCCAACTCCTACTGAGCTCACTTTCCTGCAAATAATCTACCCTCTGAACTAAAGGCTCCTAGCTAGCATCGCCTTCAGTTGTGGATGGGCCGCTCCTCCTGAAATTCTTCCCTTCGCTCCAGCCTCTCCGTCCTCACCCTTGCACCTGAGAGTAAGAGAATGAGTTTATCTCAGCTTCCCTGGCCAGACTTTCCTGATATTCACTCATTGGAAGCTTTATCCAAACTAAACTCCTTGCCGCCACAGCCACATCCCGTGACCCTTTTCTTCATTCACGCAGTGAGTAGTTCATTGCATCAGCGCCTGCCACGGAGCATGCTTCATAATAGGCGCTCAGCACAAAGAACAGGGTCATTTGCCAGAACTGGATTTAAATTCCAACCATATCACATATTTTGTATGACTTTGGGTCGACCTAACACACAACCCTGTGATTCACTGCTTACCTATAAAATGGGGAGAATGAAATTAAAGGTAAAAATATAGCACCTGGCACGTACAGACATTAGAAAATAATAGTTTCCATTTCCCCTTATTGAAAAAATGAGTGAACGAACAGATGAAAAAGATGTTAGCTGAACTTCTTTTGCTCTCTGACAGGATCAAATGAAGCCCCGTGGCTCCTACACAGGGGGATCAGTTTGCTAATTCAGTGGCTTGACTTCTCCAAGTCATCCTACCCAACTGCTTCTTAGTATCTGCCTATTACCTCCCTCATCACCTAGAACCTACACCTAGAACCTTGGGTGTTCCACCCTAAGGTGCAGCTCCTGCAGTAGTAAAGCCAACGGGAGTATCCTAGGTGCTGTAATCCTGTACAATTTCTGAACTTATGTCCCACAGACCCAGAGACCCTTCCCGACCAATGCTCCCCTTTCTAGAACCCCTGGAGGCATTGGAGATTGGCTACATGGGATGAGAGGGCACAGACAAGGTCAACTGTGAATCCAGTGGTTCAAACTTGAGTGTGTGGAGGAATGATGGTATCGGTGACAGAGAACCTGGTCTGCACAGGAGGGTGATGTGGATTATGCAAATGCTGTTTTAGATTCTGACACATTGTACCTTTTTAGCTACCAGCGGAGGAAAGTAAATAGGAAACAAACTATGAATAGAACTAATCAAAAGCCAAAATGAAATTATTCCAATGAGTAGCATAATAAAGTATATCAAATATTAAAGCATAAGATCATGTAGGTATCTCAGGGATTAAGTAATTTAGATCATGTAAGTATGAAGCCAGAATGTGTAACAGTATCCATTTTTGAGTTCTGATGTATTTATAATTTTATTCAATAGTGATTCTCTTTTTTTTTGAGTTGACCTGGGCTTACCCATCATCTTTTAAAAATGACATTGCTCTTTTGTACATTAAACCTTCTCACATAGTTGGAAATGAAATTCTTCTGTGAAATAGTTTCCTGCAGTTCTTTTTTTCTTTTCTTTCAACAATTGGTTTTCCATGGACAAAATAAAATGTTCTGCTACATTACAGCCTCACTGTGAGAAATGAAGAAAGAGCGGGAACTGCAGAAAGACCCCCACACACCACCAAAATGGAGAGCATCCAGGTCCTAGAGGAAGAAGGGTGAGTGATTCATGTTGTAATTACATCTTGTATTCACACATGGCTTGCATCTACTCAGCGCTTAGCTGTCAGCTTGTGCTTCTTCCTGTCGGTCCGAAAGTGGGCTTGGGAAGTGAATGCACACACAAGCTGGGAGGTCTTTTGTGATGCAGTTGCTTTGCATCCGTTCTTCTATTAGCTTTGTTAAGCGATCAGCTAAAATATTGCCTGGCTTATCCTGTCCCTTTCAAAAAACAATGATTGTTGCGTGATTAGTCCCCTCAAAATGGGCTAATTCTTTCCTTCCTCTTTCTGAGAACATTTCTTTCAGTCATCCTCTTCCTCCGGGAAGAATCTAAAACACACACATAAAAGATACATGGAGCTGCCTAACTCAGGCAGAAAGGGCACCCAGCTGGCGGTCGGTCCCATTTCCGTTAGAACAGACTCTAGCCAAGTATTTTCTCCAAAAGGAGAAGTTGAAACGAAGAATGGGATCTACCGATAAAATCAAGACACAGGTGGATCATTTGGGTAATTTTAAGTGCTTTCTTTTTCTACTGATGAGAAGGTTTTAATCTTGATGCTGCATAGTAATGGTTTTTTAAATATATTTTTAAATGAATGAGGGAATTTAGACATTTGGGGAGAATAAAAATCTATTTTAAATACTTTCTCAAAAACGTGTATACACATGTATACCTTCTTTGACCAAGTGCGTTTTAGTTTAGAAAATTACTAAATGGACTGTTGAACGGGGAAGCAAGATCCATTTAACCATAAGCATCCCCAATCCATTTCTCCCACTTCTTTGATGTACAAGCAAAGGGAGCAATAACTGGTGGTTCCTGCAGCAAAGTAGTCACTGAAAACCTGAATATAGACATCGCAAAGGTCCTAACCGTCATCACAAAGGCCCTGAGCTTTGTAACTGCAATAACTTCATGGGTGACGATTCATTCACAGTACAGAGTAGGCAAAAGTAGGCTTACAGTTGTGAGTGTGCAAAACATGGTTTATTCTTATGTTATTATTTATTAATTATTTTATTATTTTTCATGCAAACAACTGTAAACCCACTTTCGTCCCACTGGTGTTGAATGGAATCATCATTAAAGTTTAGGAAAATAGGTGACAAGCGCACACAATGGGTTCTTCTTTTAGATCCAGTGATAAAAAATAAAGCCACCAGAAATGAAAGGAGAAACTGTATCTTATAGTTTGAAAATGAAAATCTGCATCAGATGCGAACAAAAAAGTTCAGTTTGCCCTTCGAACAATAAGTGTATAGACTGTTTCTATGACCTTGGACTATATCAAGGTTTGAACATTTCCAGTCTTTGGTAGGACTTATAATGACCACATGCAGAGTCTGTATAGCCCCTTGCTATTTGAACACTTGACCCCATGACATGCAGCTTGTACCTAGCACTAATTTTTGTCAAGACCCAGAAATCACTCACCTAGTCCTGGCAGATTTTTTTGCCAGATCAGCCCATACTGAGGGGCAATGACCACTAGATGGCAGCAATTGAATAGAAAATCTATCTGCTGCTCCCATCTACGAGGGCTAGCATTCAAGGTCGCCTTGGATAATGGCCCGTTCTTTCCCTGCAGGCAAAACCCCACTTCAGATGAAGTCTTGTCCTGGTCTCAGAATTTTGACAAGATGATGAAGGCCCCCGCAGGAAGAAACCTTTTCAGAGAGTTCCTCCGAACAGAATACAGCGAAGAGAACCTACTTTTCTGGCTTGCCTGTGAAGACTTAAAGAAAGAGCAGAACAAAAAAGTAATTGAGGAAAAGGCCCGAACGATATATGATGATTACATTTCAATACTATCACCTAAAGAGGTAAAACACTGGCAAGTACTGGTGTGGGCTTCCTAACCAAGGACGAACCTGCAAGGAGCTCTGTCCAAATAGGATCATGTATGGGGTGTGGACAGACGAGAAGCTTGTCCGGGTAAATCATTTAGATTCCACTGTAAGGGACTATGTGAATGTGTTTGAAAGCTAGGTGCCCTCACTCTGCTTTGTTCATTTACCTCTGGCTGAATCTGCGGTAGTCTACTTGCTTCTCAGGACTAACATTAGGAAGCCTGTTGAAAATACGATTTCCTGTGACTTAACACTAACATGGAAAAGAATTTACTTTGGGGCAGCATTTCTCAATGTGATCCCCAGATTACCTGTGTGAGGTTTCAGCAGGAGCATTGGTTGGTAAAGCAAATTCTTGAGGCCTACCCAGGACTTCTGAATCTGAAGTCTTTAGAATAGAGCTCAGGAATCTGTCCATTTAACAAGCTCCCCACACATATGCAAGTTTGGAAACCTCTGATGCAGGGGCTCAAAAGAAAATACCATATTTGTATTGCTCGTGATACAGAACTGAAGATTGAGCCTTCATGATCCATTAATATTCTTGAGCAGAGATGGGTATAATAATTATTTTACTTATTCTAGTTGTGCTGTCATTGAAAGTGCAAGCGATTTTTTCCCATCGCCAGAGTGTACCTAATGCATGAGGAACATTTCAAGCAACCAAATGAACACTTTTCCATTAAGCTCCAGCTGTTGGACTTAAATGCTGCTGGTGAGGGAAGGGTTAATGGCATGCACGGGGGGGGGGGGGGGGCCTCTGGGGTGCTAAGTTCCAGACCTGTTTTCAAGCCTTTCAACTCAGAGGTTCCTAGAGTGCCTTTTCTTTCTCACACCACCCTCTATTGATCGTTTCTGCTCCTAAACCTCTGTGATTCCTACCTGTGCACTTAAGTGTCCTGACCTGGTCATTTTCTGCTCCCCAAGGGTGGCCCCACAGCCCTCCGGTGCTCACACAGACATTTACGAAGTCCTCTAGAAAGAGGCTGCACACATCAGCGCCCCATCCAATACTTGCTGGGGCCCCACCTGACTTGCACTCTTACCTTGAAATCTATGGAAGCGTCTGCTTTAGCAACCTCTATGTTTGGGGGTCTCTATAAACTATTTCCCCTCCAGTGAGGTCTACGAAGTAACTAGTTTTTTTATTCGGTTTTAAGTGCCATTGGAATTCCAGAGTACTCCAATGGTATCATCTCTTAAAAATGAGAAACCTTGAGTTGGATACACAAAAGATTGTTTTCTTTTTTATTTCCTGAATTAACATGAAAAGGGTATTTATAGCAACAAGGTGGGGAGAATGTTCTCTGAAGTGTCAATGTATTTATTACTGCTTTTGTTTCTATCACAAATTGTAAGTCTACATCCTAAAAGTGCATTCTCCAGGTTTCTGATCTATCTAGAGCCTCAGCGTTTAACCAATATATAGTGCTTGGGTTTTCTTTACCACATTGACTTCTTTCTCACTTTCATTTTAATATTGCATTGTATAGCAAATATATCAAATAATTCAAATGTGCTCAAAGGCGTACTTCTCATGCCCATAACTACACATAATTACAGAGTCTTTGGGAAGCTAATCTAACCCATTTCTCACACCAAAATATGCACAATATATCATCTTAAATGATAATTGTCTAGATTATCTAGTCCATTTTTGTACCATCTAGGCACCATCTGAAAATGATTACTATTCCATTTTTTAAATAATGCTATTAGAAAGAAAAAAGTATTCATATAATAAGTACATATAGTTCCTTTGTTTTAGTCACTACTTCTAATTTTTAGTGTTTCATAGAAACATTTTCCCATTGTCCCCACAGCTCCTGATCTCCAGATTTCATGGATTTGTAAAGTACCTAATTTTCACAAATTTACTTCTTCTTCTGTGGGCCACAGTTTAGAGCTATCATAGTTATTGATTATTGAAAGATAAACTCACAATTGCAAATCAGCTTTTGCCCATCCTTATATCCGATTATTGATTAGCAGTGAAAACTAGTGAACTAAAAGTAAGTATTTGCAATTATAAAAGACCATTGTTAAAAAGGTTATATTTTCAGCCAAGGTGTAGCTGTATTTACTCTTAAACCATGTCCAGCCACGACCCACTGACACACATGCACTTCAAAAGAGCCCTTTGCAAACTCTTATATATCACTGCCTTTTCCATGCAAAAATTTGTCAGTTTCTAATCAGCCTCAATACACCACTAATTGTCTGACAGTGCTGAGTTATCAGCTTCAAATTTTGCGTTCCAACACTGGGGCGAACACGTCCCACCAAGAGAGCCCTGACTATGCGGTAGGAAGAGCGCTGGACCAATACTGGGGTGCAGGGAATTCTAGCCCTGGCTCTGCTTCAGCCTAATTGTGTGACCAGGGAGAAGTGAGTTCACTAAAGTCAAAAGGGGCACAGAGAACAGGAAACCAAACTGAGAATGGCAGCTGTGAGGCCCTTCTGCTACTTAACCTCATGCCCCACCCCGCCCCACAACCCGGTTAGTAAACTGTGGTCCTCCTCACTGCTGTCCCCGGGTTCAACCTCAGAGCCTCTCTCAACATGGAGCTCAGAGTCCCAGTGGAGTCTTCTCCCGGGTAGGGGACAGCTAACCTGGCCTTCCTACCTCTGAAACTCTGTAACTGTTTCTACTTACTCCAAATAGTTTTAAAGAATATGAACAGTTGAATCATTTATAAACTGGTAATAACTAAACACTAAAAATTATCAGGACTTTATTCTTAACCAGAACCTCATTTTTTTCACTAGACTGTTCATTTACCTCAAGTTGATTGAGTTATCATGCCTCTCTCTGTTAAATGTAGAGAAAGTCTACATTCTTAGAACTCTTTATATAAGTTACTTCCTACATGAAGCCAGCAGGCTGGAAATTGCATTTCACTGTTTGTCTTAAAAGCCTGTTTATATACTTTTAATAATTTGTGCAGTGTGCTATATAATAGGTGTCTGTAACCAGGAGGCCATACAACTTCCATTTCTTGGAATGGCATACCTGTCAAGAGAGGAAAGACCAAAATTTACAGTCTAAAAAGACTCTAAAAGCAAATTAACAATAGCATATGGGTAAATTTTCTGTTTTCTGCCTTGTCCTCAAACAACATGGAAGTCATGAAGAGAAGTGAAAGACGAATAGTAGCCTTGCTGTGCATAGCAGATGCTGCTGGCAGCTTGCATGCATTAAGTATTGGAAAGACAAACCCCCCAAAATAAAGGACTTTAATTAAAAGTGTATTTAACAGCTATTACCAACTATCAACAGCACTGAGCTATTGAATAAAGAAATAATTATAAATCCTGGAACAAACATTTTTAACCAGGGCGGCAACCTGGCCCTGCCACCTGCCATCCAGCCGCAGTGAATAATTCCCTTAGTGCTTCCGCTTCCTTGTTCCCTGGAGTGAAGCCATCGGATCCCGAGCTCTAAAGGCCACTGCCTCTGTGACTCCCAGGCTCTGCCGCACGGGGGTGTTAATTGGAATAGGGGTTGTTTGCTTCTGATTTCACCCTGACTTTCCCATTGCTAACTGGGAGGGGAAAGGCACGAAAGCTCTCTAAACACCCACATTTTCTAAAAATAATGCATATGGGGTGGGCATATGGAATCTGTATGTAGAAGTATATTCCTTTTCAAGAAAAACTATGTGAATTCAGCACTTACAGTACTTCAAATGGGATTTTATAACCAAGATTCATTGAACTATATTTCCTTAGATTCTTTTCTTTGTGCATGTTTATTATCATTCACAAATACTTTCCAAGTATTTCCTGTGAGTTAGGTAGTAGGCCAAATGTCCGGGATCTGGCCATACACAACCACAAAAATACGGCCTATTCCTTAAGGAGCTTACATTTGGGGGAGACAACAAATCATGCCAAAAAGAAGGGACTAAAAGTTGTGATAAACTTGATGGTGGGGGTGAAGGTGAAATGATGTAGTTTAGACCTGGGGTAGTCAGGTAAGGTCACTTGGAGCAGGTTAGATTCAAGTTGATACAAAATCTGAAAGACATTGGGCTTGATCAAACAGGTGTCATCGTACTTAGGATCAATTATTATTATCTTACATTGGAGTTAAACGTTGTTGTTGATAAAATGAAAATCTTACTTTATTATTACGAGTCTTAAAATAATCCTTTAGCCACTAGGATTAGCAGCCACTAGATGGCACCAGTTTACAACAAAGGAAACTCACTCCCCAAGAAGTAAAACAGATTGTTCAGAGGTTAGAACTAGGTTTTTATAGAGAGAGAACATAAGTCCGCGAAGTCTCCTGATTTCAAATGTGGTGCTTTTCTAACCACAATATGCTGATTAGTTACTCTATCATCTAGTGCTTTCTTCATGACCCTACCACAGATTTCTATGAACCCCGCCTTAAAACTCCAGGCAGAAAGAGAAATGGAAACTGTAGCTGCATGCTTGAACTAACTCTCCTGGAGACAAGCAAGATGTGCTTTCCCGTCATTTCCACCTTACCAAGGATATGGCTGCTCAACTCGTGTCCAACCAAGAAACAAACACCAACAATCAGTCTTTTGCAACTTACAATTGTTTTCAGGAGATGTAATCGACACAAAATAATATGACAAAGTACACATGGTAAAAATTTATCAGAACTGATTGGACAATCAGATACTCTTTAGACCTATAAAATTTAACATAAAAACATTTAGTTAAAATTAAAAATCACATCTCCAGTGGTAGAAGCTAGACTTGGTAAAATTTGATACGGACTTATAAAGGAAAAAGAGAAAAAAATCTATCAATATTTTATAGAAAAGAAGTCTAAATGAAACGACTTCAGTAAAATTGAAAATACCATGCAAAAAATGGAGGGAGAATCTTAATGATGATATGCAAAAAGTTGTTTTAGGAATTTACATCATTGACTTAATGAAGGGTTTCCATGAGAAAAAAATTCTCAGTGAAATTCATCATTGTTAGTATAATTC